AAAATAAATAAAACTCTTATCGATTCGGATACAAGTCCAAAAAAATCTTATTTTGTCCATGCATAATCCACACCCTAGGCCTCATTTACGCTATTGTATATTTATTGAACGACTAATCTAAGAGTTTATTGTTCAATCATTCGATTAATCATAATAATCTGGTGCAAGCTTAAGTGTTTGTATAAGAACTGGATCGTGAGTAAGAAATAGTCTTGCATTCGGTACAGAAGCTAATTGTTTTAATCGTTGAATTGATTCAAGTGCAGCTTTATCATCTACTGATTCACCAGGTAAAATCTCTTTTTCATAATTTTCCATTAAATCACCAGCATCACCTGTCATAATTATTATTGCTCCACTTGGTAATTGAACACGAACTGATTGATGTCCTGACGTATGACCACGTGTTGATATCAGATCTAAGCCAGGTAGAATATTCATATCACCATTTACTAAGATCCAATCAGATTCTGGTCGACTATCATAGTCATCACGAAACCATGCACTACTTAACTTTTCTTGTGGTTGAAATCCATGCTCATATTCTTCATGTTGAATATAAATTTTAGCATTTGGAAAGTGTTTTAAATTTCCTGTATGATCAGCATGCATATGAGTTAATATAATATATTTAATCATGTATGGTTCAACATTAATTTGTGATAATTGATATCTTAAATGATGTACTGGAAGTACAACTGGAGCTGGCTTCCAACCACGATCCAAAAAATATTTTTGCACTAATATTGGATCATCAATTTTTGCTTCATCTATACCACAATCGACAAGTATCCAACCGTCAGTTGTATCGAGTAAAAAGGCAGTAATAGGTTCACTCATAATAATATTTGCACCAAGGTTACGAGTTGACACTGTTTTAGGAATAATTTCAAATCCACATAATAATACATACAGGCGTCGGACAGATGATGTTATAGTTGAAATATATTCCGACATTTCTTTCTAGAATGAAAGATAAGAAAAGCAATGAAATTCATCTTGAGAGTATCGGTTTATGGAGTTTCATCTTTATACTCACACGCTTAAACAATTTCACGTAGTACGTCTCATCGATTTATCCAACTAAAAGGTTCTACAGAGGGTTCTACATTCTATCTTTGATGCTATCAAACACTGTACACATGCACATGGTAATTGACCGATAAAAGTAGAAAAGAAAAAAATACGAAACTTTATCACATGTCTTGTTGAGAAAAAGCGCAAATAAAATCAGTTGAATCAACTTATGGTCGGATCTCAGCTACAGTATATAAAAATAGTTATTTAAACACCAACGATTATTTTTGATAACTCCTTAATATTTCGGCAAAATCTATTCAATAAATGCCTCATTTGATAAGGAAAACGTTTCTCTATACGTTGGTATAATTTAGTTGGTGCAGAAAAGAAAAACAAAAATTAATTCTTTCATTCTGTCGCAGACTACATATATGACAAAGATATATAGAAAGAAATGTTTTTTTCTCTACACCGACTAATACATTTGAAAATATAGGATCTTAACTACTTTAAATCGATTAGTAATCGTGCAGCCTAGCATATCATTTAGTAGAGAATGAAATTCTCTAAAAACATATTTAGTGCAGTTTTTCTTATAAAAAAGTCGAGATTAATAAATGTTCTACACAAAAAAAACCGATAGTACTGCAGGTTCATCACATCATCATTATCATATATGGAAAGAACGGAAAAAAATTTTGATTTGATGAATGTCTCGCTACTGAATGCGAGAAAGAAAATATGAAATATAGATGGCGGGTTTGGGTGGGGTGTGCGTGTCGGTATGGTTTAAGTAAAATAACTATACTTCCACACTCACCGATATATTTTAAAAAGTGCATCGAGTTTTTGATGAAAACATGTAATAAAGATGTGTTACTTTTATTATGTTAGAAACAAAAATCTAAGAAATAATTCAAGTTTTTAATATATCGAATAATCGACTTTTGACGTTACAAAAAATATTTCATATCCGTTTAAGAATTAGTTGCTTTTAATGAACCAACTTCTATCCAATATTTGATATAACGTTGTATAAGTTGTTGGTCGATTGGTGGACAATTCTGAAGTATTGCTGTACGCCGAATTGTCTTTTCCAAGCTGAACTGACCAATGTGACATATTTTTCCATTAGCAAAAGTCTTCTCGAAGAAGGCAGCAAGTGCATAAGCTGGATTCTTAGGATTGCCAAGGAGTTGATGAATCCATTCTTCGGTAGGCACTACTTTGAATTGAAGACCAGATGATTTCAAATATTTGATCAATTGTGACCAAGTGATAACATGTGGATTCTGAATGTGGTGTACACGGTCGGAAGGAGGGGTTGCTCGTGCACTCGAATTGATAGCAATGTCAACAAGACAGGCCGCTCCGTAATTTACTGGTATCCAGTTAATTTGTTCACCATCTTCGGGCAACATACCCATCTCACCACATCCCACACAGATCATCAATGAAATCATTTCATGAGTATTCCATACGCCACTTTCACTATCACCTGATATCTGTCCAAATCGATAAATATCGACAGGTACGCCTAAAAAATGTCATTAGCATTGAACAATAACACGTTTCTTATCATAATTTTCTAGTTGCAACTTACTCCATTGATTCATCGCTGCCCAACAGATATGCTCAGCGGCATATTTTGATTGTCCATAGCCATTAGGAAGAGCAATTCCTTTTAGACGAGATAAAGGTTCTTCTTTAACTTTGTCGATGACAACGGAACCTGCTGCGGACACGCTTGAAATGAAATGAAAATGCATTGGTACTTCTGACAAAGAAGTTGCTGCAAGCTTGAGAAGTTGATAGAGTCCTTTCAAACATTCTCGATCAAAATCGTTGATAGTTAAGTTAAAATCCATTTTCCAAGCCGAATGAATTATATCAGTAACTTCACATTGTAGTTGTTGATAGATGTTTGTCGTTTGACCAAGCTGGTCATCATCGAAATTCGTTGATAAAATGATGATACGTGTCTTATCATCTAATACTGCAGTATCTTGTTTCCGTGATTCCATATCAGTTCGAAGACGATTATGTGCATCAGGACCGCGCAGAAGACAATAAATTTTAGTTACTTGTGGTTTATTCAGTAATTGCAAAAGTGTTTGACTTCCGAGAGAGCCATTGGCACCTGTAATTAAAAAGATACGTTTTCCAAGATGATCACTATTTGTGATTTGACGTTTATTATTTGTATGTGTTGCCATCAGGTTAATATATTTATCAATAATTTCTTCTGTTTGTTGATAATGTTGAGGATCATCTGATTGTCGAGTTTGTTGATTATTTACGATCGCGAATAGTTGATCTGTTAGAGCAGCAATAGTTGGATATTCAAAAATAAAGTTCTGATCAAGAAAACCAAATTTCTGACACAATTTATTTCGTAATTGTAAAGTAGTCAGTGAATCAAGAGAGAGATGATATAATGATTGAGAATGATTATTAAAATTCTCGATTGGTTTATGAAGAACTTCGGCTACTGTTTCTTGTAAATAATCACAGATCTTTTTTTTAGTCCACGATTCTTGTTGATTATCATGCGGATTATTATAATCAAAATTAGATTGATTTAAGAATTGTTCGTAGATTTGTTCAATTTCCGAGTGATATTCATTATAAACTTGTTTTCGAAGAATATTACCTTTGTTTGTCACTGGAAGATGTTTATCCAAGGGCAAAATTTTAATCAGAGCTGGTGCTATGTGTGAATGTGTAGGTGCATTTGTATTGGCATTTTCAACAGCCGCCAAAATTTGTTTTTCTATTTGACTATGTTCAAGTTTAGATGCTTCTTTACTATTCAGTTCAATTAAAACCGAACAATGTAAACGTTGATGACCAAGAACAACAGCATGCTCGACGACTGGACATTGTTGAATAGCAAGTTCTATTGGTAAAGGATTTGTCTTTTCGCCAGATATATGCACTAAAACATCGTCTGCTCGACCTTGAACAATATAGTTACCGGATCTGACTGGTTCCTCCTTAAATAAATCTCCAATAGAATAGAATTTTTTCGATTTAAACTCCGGTGCAAGAAACGGATCTTGAGAGTTGACAACTAGTTCATATATTTGATTATCAGAATCCAATGGCAAAAAATTGAGATTTGATTCACGTCCTTTTAGTTTTCGAAGTGATTGCCACTGATCTTTGTTATCCGTTTCATAACCGCTGACGAGAATGAATCCTGTTTCTATTAAAACAAAGATACGCATTTAGTATTTTTATTTTCATAATTCTAAATGAGGGTGCATCAACATTGGCTACTCATTTTTCGTTCTTGGAGTATGATCTTCCTTGAATATGAACTTTAAACTTCTACACTATTAACAATAATCAAGGGAAAGAAAAACACATAATATCGAATGAGGCGTGCCTTTCGCTCTTTTATACAAACTCTTTAATAAATAGTCAAAAATAAATCTGAAATGGAATAAGTTTTAAGTTACCTGTAGAACCAAAGCCTATAATGAGTTTGACTCCATGTTCTGTTAATTGTTTGCAAATATCAGGTGAACAAGCTGCACCAACTGATAAGACGAATCGAAGACGAGCTAACCTCTTAAATCCGTTGTTCTCGTCTTCTTTTAACAACCGTAGAAGTTGTTGAAGAAAAAGTGGAACTGTACACATCTTCGATACTTTTGTATATTCAATACTCTTAATTATTTGTTTGGGAGTTGGCGGAAAGATGTCTCCCAATGGCAGCGCACATGCTGCACCCACATAGAACATAATAAATGCTGTTCCAAATCCAGCTACGTGAAATCTAAAAATAAATACAATTGATAGAAAAATTCTTATTCTCAAAAAGAGTAAACATTCTAGTATTCTCTTTTGTATATTCGATGAAATACTCACAATGGTAATAGAAGAAGCACAAGATCATCATCAGACCAAAATCGATCATCCATTTCAGAAGCGAAACTCTCAAACCATCCAAATAAATATCGAGTTGTTAAACGAATTGGTTTTGGAAATGATGTTGTTCCAGAACTAAAGCAAACAATAAATTTTTCATCTATTTGTGAACTATTGATTCTTACCTATGAAAAATAATACAAATTCGATCAATTTCATTCGTATCAATTTCCGGTTTAAATGAAGATTCTTTATAGTCAAGAAGTTCACTAATGTTTAATTCTTCCATTCGATGAAGATTAATAGTTGAATCAAAGGTTGTAGCGACAGATGAAAATGCTTTAGAATAGAATAAATATGATGCATTCGACTTTTCGAGTAAATGTTTAATAGCAGCATCAGAATTTCTGATACTCAAAGGAAAGACAACAACATTAAGCTTGAATAAAGCATAGATGGTCAAAAGATAATCGACATCACTATTGGCTAGTAGACAAACAACTGGATTTTTATTTGTTTCTTTTTGATGAATTATATTAGAAAATCTTTTAGCTAAATGATTGGTCACTTCATTGAACTGCTTAAAAGTTAATGATGCATAGCTATCGGATTGATTTTTCTTAGGATAATAAAGACATTTTTCATCGGATCGATTCTGGGCATGTTTCTGTAACATATCGGCAATAGATGAAAAGCGAAATTTGACAGACATATTTTTGACAATAAACTCTTTATCTAAAATCAAATGAACATGAAAGAATAGAAATAGATGTGACGTGACTGTGAATGTGACGGAAAGAATAGAGGGAAGATGAATCGACAGGCACACTCAATATGATTTACACTAGCTCTCTGTATTGAGGCAGCTATGAAATAATAAGAATATATCATGCATTTTCTTAAATTTCATCACCGGTTATCTTTTCGTATTCTAATTAGACACTATGGTGTTGCTAATGATTCTTCTAATTGATCGTTTATTGCACAGGTAATGATATTTTATAATTGATCTTCTATTGCATAGCTAATGATTCTTTTAATTGATTGTCTAATGCATAGGTAATGATTCTTCAAATTGATTTTTTATTCTATCGCTAATGATGCTTCTAATTAATCACCTACTCTATAGCTGTAAGAGAAAGAGTAGTAAGTAAAAAATATGAAAATCATTAGAAAATCTTATTTCAATCTGAAATAAAACTAAGGGAATCGAGCTTTCGTGGTCGGACTGAACACATCGTCAAGGATGACAATCTAATATCATCTATTGTATTTATATAACAAGTAGAAAAAAAAGAAAAAAATATTTTATTTAAAAATCAAACTGATATTTTACTTAAAGAGTGAATTACTCCAGCTGGTTCCGACGTTTTTTTGCTTCATATCTTGGCTGTAAGTAGAAGTCAATGAGACTAAGAAACTCCTACAGGCGGTTTTCTGAATAGTTCTTTTGTATTCTCTATATAAATAGCTGACGTTATGAAATTGTATAATAATATTCATACCCACCCACACCCACACCCACCCTCAAGATGAAACAGATTTCATTTTATAACAGAATATTTTGTATTGTAAAAATAGTTAATTATTTGATTGTATTCAATCATTTCACTGGATTCCATTCAAAGAATGGTATCTTGATATAGAGATGTTTTTATTTAAAAAATTTACGAACAAAAGATAATGTCAAATCAAACCTGTTTTGACAAGTATCAGTTCGTAATAGTTGTCATTTAAAAATAGTTTATTAAAGTAAAATGTGACATGAATGCGTTTATTCATCATTATCATCATTTACATAATATTCTTCTGTTTCTTCTGTATCTTGTTCATCTTCTTCGTTAAAAATAGATTCGTCTACTGTGGGTATTGCTGTACCACCCCTGGTGTAAGCGGACTAAAATAATTATCATATCAGAATAATTCAAATAGTATGTACAAAAATAATACTATACATACGCGCTTTATATGAAATACTAAATTCAACATTCCAATCGTCACTGGTACTTCTGAGTGTAACTTCTGTAGCTCTCCTTTGATTGATGTTGCACATACATATTGCCGAATTTTTACCCATTTTTTACCACTTGCACATCTATATAATGTAAGAGATATATCAAAAGCAGTCAATTAAAATATTAATAATCAGATTAGCTTGAGCTATTTTAGAGAAAATGATTTAGTTTATGATGTTGTATTTTAAATAAAAGATATATGACAACAACTGTATTCGACAAGGTAAAATGACGCAAGTAAAAGTTGCATTAAATACATAAATATTTTAAAACTGTCACTATCAAGCGCATGACAATAATTTTTCAATGTGAAACATATCTATCACGATTGAAAGACTCATCAGTGACATTTATCTGATTGAACAAAACTTCATTAGATATATGCTAAGAGTGGTCAAATGAAAAATGAATCTCTACTATAATACTGATATAAACATACTTATCAAATAATGCGTTTGTACGCGTTGTTATGCGATGAAGTTTCTTCATAACTCGTGATAATTTGTAGTTGTCTGCTGACGTTTTTTCTTCTGGACCAAGACCATTTAATATACCCTGAATAATGTCCAAATCATCCACTAGAAGAGCACAAGCTTCTTTGTTTGATGTAACTGTTTCGACCCTTTCCTTGCCATATTGAATGAGCTTAATAATTGTTAAAGGGTTTAGCGGAATCGACATTCTTCACTATCTAGAAAAATCTTTAAATAAAATCTGACAAATAATATCAATATTTTACAGATATCAAAGGCTTTTTCCAATAGTAACGAAGCGTTTCTCACAAAAATAATCTATACACATATGATAAACGCAATAGTGTTCAAGATCTCTTGTGCTCCTATGTCTTTAGATAGCGATCACCACTGTAGTGACGACAAAATAAAAGAAATATCAATAAAACATTTTTTTGAACGATTACTAACTTAAAAATTGTTTGATTGTACAGTCCAATGTTTGAAAACTCTTATTAATCATACATTGTTAAATACATAATCAGTTAAATTTCGTGCGGTGGACGTTAGTTGCAAGTTCTTACACAAAAACTGATTTCAAGTCTGATTCTACTCATTAATCAAGATGACATGCTGTTTTACAGAGAATTTACATAAAATATTTTCGTAAGTTCTAACTCCTTGCATTCGGAACAGAATTAGACTCCTACTAAGATCTATATGCCTAAAATATTCGTATGCTGACAAATAGACAAGGACTTTATACTAAGAAAAATCGGAGTTTAAATTTAAGAGAATACAGACATAAAAAAAAAGAATTCATTATCACCATGAGATTGCGTATTTAGAAGGACTGAACGAAACTTGTTAAGGACTATTAATTAAATACTATGTCTCGTATGATACTGTAGCGTCATGATTGCAATATTAAATAAATCCGAAATTAAGAATGTAACGGTTCTATAAAAGTTCATCTCCATATAGAAATCTGTCAATGATTTGATAGACATTACATTTTTATTCTGTCTGCGTGAGGCTCCTATTCTCAGTAAAATATTAAAATGATACATACTTCTTTTTATCAACAGTGATACGAATAAAAACTATCGTTCTTTACTTCGTCTTTTATTGTTATATTTTTATCAGTACAAGCACATGTCTTATCAAAAAACAAATCTTTCCAACATAGTTGTCACATGTAAAGACTACCGAAAAGATATTGTCCTTCTCGAACACTATTCTCTGAAAACTCTAATTTATTTGAAATGAACTTATTCAGGGGAAACGGAACTACAAGAAGCAAGAATTTTGTCTATACTATTTAGATCTTCTAAAGAAATCGAATTTTTCATTAAACTGAAAATAGTATACACTCTAACTATCATTCAGTTGATAGACCCTGACATTCTAATGCATGTCTCAAAAGTAATGGACATTGTAGTATTTTTAAGATTTCTTCTCAATTTAAGCATTTTTTTTATCAAAAAATGACATATGAAATTCTCTACAAAATTCTGTACGATTAGGTTTAAAAACTTGTAAATTAAAGGCATAAAAAAGTTATGGAAAGTAAAAGATTGAATAATCGTACTTCATTCTTGCACATTACCGCTTATTTTACATGATTTTTTTTATACCAAATACTTTATTATATTAATTCATTTTCAAAAAGTTTCATTGACATAGGCTTAGAACTGAAAACAACTTCCATTTATTGATTAAAATTTTGTTTAATATATTAATGTGAATTATAAAGTATTATTTTTGTAATCAAAAACATTTCAAATAGTTATAGAGATATGTAAAAGAATATGAATGTAACCATATAACCACAAAATAATAAATAAAAGTACAGACAATGAAAGAAACAATTCTAAAGCATGAATTTAGATTAAAGATTTATGAATCGAATATATATTTTTATGTTGATTTACCGATAATGCAAAAGTAATATCGACAAAGATATATTCTCAAAGGATTTTTTCACTTATTTTGTAACTATTCATGATTTATTTTCATCATAAACTTCTTTCAAATAAATAAATTAAGAAAAAAACATCAAAATACTCTTCGTGACCTATTTCAATATTTCATTCCTTTACTTTTCTACTTATATTCACATATATAGATATTCTAGAGTATATATACAGTTTACATAAATTTCTTTTCATATAAATCGAAAATAAAACGATGGTCAGTATTAAAAAAAAGTGATTAAAATGCATTAAAAGTTAAAAAAACAAATTTATAAGATTACTGTCTAATGATAATAATATAATAATAAGAAAAAAAATGAATAAATGTTTTGTTTTCTATGAAAGTCTTTTCCTCATCGAAAATCAATTACCGGAATTATCGTATTTTGATGACTTCTTGCATTTTTCTGTAAGTCTCGTGGATGAATGGGTACTAGCATTTATTTTATTTTTTGCATAGCAATTACTATTGTTGATATTGAATATCCATGCAATACAATCTGGATATTGCTCACATAATGTAGCACATGCTGCTGATGAGTGTACTTGTGCAGGGTGACTGTGAAATAGAAAAGATGAATTGTATTATGAACTATGAAATTAAGAATTATTTCATTTAAAACATTAATTATATCTTTTTTAAAATTATGAGAATTGACATACTCTTGTGAGTAGCTGCTCGTTTCATGCTTGAGAAAGGTTCCGCGAGTTCTTCTTCAAAATCCTTGTCATTGTAACTACTCATTGCATTAGTTTGGCTTATGATAACAATACCAATAAGAATGAAAGCAATGATTGAGGATTGCATTCTTTGCAGAAACTAAACAATAAAATACATATATAAACATTTGTATAATTATATAGAATATTTTACCTTAGCGTATATGAGAGTTGTAAAATATAAATGAAGATTACATGATTTTCGATAGGAACTTATATAGAGAAGATTTTTTCATTGGCTTGTTGTTTATTTTGATGGAAGAAAAATATTTATTGCTTTTAATAATCACTTTTATAATAAGATTCATATTTTTGATGCTCATTGCTACATCTCATCATGAAATTGGTGCGAAATAATTGATAACAATACAATGTTGTCTTGAAGCAAAACAAGAGTCAAGCAATTATAAAATACAGAGTGTAGTGTGTTTATCAGATCTTGACAAAAAAAATTAGCAATTATCAATTTGATAGTAGCTGCTGTCCATTACTGTTTAGCTGGCCTCCGAGTGCGAATTTTCAGAAAAATAGGAATCCTTAGAGGATTGTTTTTGACTAAAAATAGGATTTTCTATAAAAAAATGGCAGAAATATAGATATGTATTATTTTTGAGAAAACATATAATTTTGCTAGTTTTGATACTCCATATTTTTCCTTTGATAGAATCAGCATAAACGATTACACTTTACTTACAGTCGTTCTGTAATTCTTTGCTATCAAAATAGTCATTTAAATCAAATGGTGTTTGAACTTTCGATTATGACATGGTTTATTCACATTTCAGTAAATAACAAAAAAGCAAATCGTAAACTTTCAAAAATAAATAGCGAAAAAGCAAACAAATGCTTTTCTTATAATTAAACTTGATAAATAAATAAATAAATGCTCATTTAAATTTATACATGAACGCTTGGAAAATAAATATCAAATCGTACCTTCCATATACCGGGTGAGTCAAAAGTTTTGCAACACTTTTGCCTCACCCGGTATATGCCGCATGTATCTGCAAAAGCGTATTATAAAAATACGCACATTTGTATATAAGTGAAACTGCGAAAAAACGTTCGAAAGACACATGATTATTTTGTGTACATTAGTTTTATCTTTTTGACTATTGAATCATTAGAGAATTCGTCGATGCTGTGAAAATACAAATAGTATTACGTACAATATATATCGCCATTTTACGAGTATTAATTGAAAACGTTTATATATGTGCATATATATATTCAATCTGTTTTTTTCTTATGTATAAAGGCTGATTTTATCAGTACTCACTAGCTTGTCAGTGTGGAATTCGACTAATACTCTATGAATAATCTTTTATTTTCTCATATTTTTGTAAAATCAGTTACATTTCTCTTTTTTTCGATAAAATATAGGTAAAATAGGAAAAGCAATCGAAATATAGGACAAATTAAAGGATTCTTCAAAAATATAGAATTTAGAGGAAAAAAAGGTCGAATCGCAGCCCAGGCTGTAGCCGCTGGCATCTATCTGAGTAAAAATTAAATTTTCGTTTCTATATATTGATCTTTATTTAACTAGCAATATTGTTAATGATTCTCTGCTAATCTTAATTTGATTTTTTCATTTGTGTTTTACACGCAATATGAAAGAATATAACAGTTTGTGACTAATATATTCAAATAAAAATATTTTTCAATCTGGAAAAAAATTTCTTTTTCTAAATTTTCCAGCCGACGACGACGACGAGTGAAAAAATTTTAATATCTTACGCCACTAAATGAGAGACTGCTTAAGCAGAAGTAATTACTGTAGAATGAATATGTCAGGTATTCTCAATATGGTTACCATAATGATGAGTGATGACATAATCATACATTCATATGAGTTTGTATATAATTGTTAAAGCATCGATCACTGTGAGTATTTATTTGTTAGTTAGTGAGAATATTAAATATATCAATAATACCTGTTACAATATCATGATAGTCTTTCTCTCAGATAAAATTTTATTGTTTTTGATGGATATTCCATCTTTAATTAAAATATCAAGCTCTTAAATGCCGCGTTATTCACTGACGTCATCATTTTAACTTGAAGTTTTCTAAAATTAATACATCAAATTATCATTTCTAGTTCAAAGGAAAGTTTTATTGCATTACATGAATATGTCAAAGTGATCCCAAGTCGAAGAATTCATACACGAGTACTTATATTGTTTGAATACTCGTATGTTGTATTTGTTCATTTTTGATATATAAATTGATTTTTGAGAAGTAAAAGTTGAGATTAGTAGATTTTTATTTATCTTTTTATCGATTATTATTTTATTATTGTCGCTGATCTATCTATAAATAAAATGAAAACAAGCGAAAAAAAGAATTTTTTGCATTTCATTAACTATTTATAAATCATATTAATAAAGAAGATTTTATTGTAGGAATAGAATAAAATCGTAATCTACACCGAATACAAATATCTTGAGGGTGTGGGTGTGGGTGTGGTTTTATCTTCCCTTAAGTCGTATTGAACATATGTTGTTGTTAAAATAGATACTAATCTGTATGTAGAAACTATACGAATGATGAAATAATGTATCAAAATAACTTGTTAGAAATTTTTTCTAATAAATACTTCAGACATAGCTGTTATATTTTTTGCGGTATTTGTGAATATTCTTATTTAAAAAGAAAACTTCAAAATCATGTTTGTAATGATGGACTGATGTATCTAATATTATAGAGAAGTTTATGTTCAAATTGATTAAAAGAAATGGAGCACATTGATATTTTTTCTTCGCTAGATGTCTGTAGCATAACAACCATGTCCGCGGTAGTATAGTGGTTAGTATCCCCGCCTGTCACGCGGGAAACCGGGGTTCGATTCCCCGCCGCGGAGTAATATTCTTTTTTTTTTACAGGTAACACATTTTTTTCGAACCGTGAAAACGAAAAATTGGTACCTTTTTTTTCGGATAAATTTTATCAAATAAATTGTACATTCAGTGATGTGCGTACATAATTTTATATGTCATTCAGCAGATTTACTTAAATAAGAAAAAGAATATCAGCAGCGTGGCGCAGTGGAAGCGTGCTGGGCTCATAACTCAGAGGTCGGTAGATCGAAACTACTCGCTGCTACTCTTCTTTTTTTTTCTTTTCAGTTCAGTCTAATCATATTTATATATGACATAATCAAAGTAGATTTTTAGTGAATTGGCGGATTGCATCACACTTTTGTTTCGTCAACAAACGCTGACATCTACGAACTTCTGTTTTTTCACATGAGTTATGAATCATTGTATGTACATAGTCATACGTCTGATGTAATCACATTTCTTTTGTGGGTAAAAACCAAGTTTATATTTATATTTCACAGTGCAACATTCGTTAAAATATTTTTGAGTGAATAAGTTGCTGGTTAGACATGAAAGACGACTACTTTATTCCTTATGAATTGTGCGAAATGATTCGATGGAATGATCCCGTTGAACTCTCCGCTGCTCTGAATAGAAAGAGTCAGCCAGATGAACTTCATTTCTATGATTTATAACTTCTTCTAAAAACTACGATATTCTAGACTTTCATTAATATCAGTCATGATAATAGCTTATATTTGCTAAAGACTTGTCTTCCCTTTCATTCGTCCTACTCCAGCATAAATTATAAACTCTAACTGAATTACATTATCCATCCTCAGATGAGTGTAGAAGCAGATGAAAAACAAACACTGTTATCACTTTCACCCACTTCATATTAATCACGAAAGATTTTGACAAACATTGAAGAAATGACTTCAATCGTTCCGAAACATCTTGTATGATTTCGAAAAATAAATAAATATTGATAGTTGTTCAATATTTTCTTTCTCGCAGCACTAGATTTCTTTAAACTTATATCTATGGCTTTCCACTGATTTGAATACTTAGCAAATAGATGATGAAATATTTTCATAGATAAGCATCGATATGTTGAATGTTTATTACTCTAATCATACAACAAAATCAAATACAAATTGTATTTTTCAAAGTTCATTCATTTTTCTTTGTGCAATATAAAATACCAGTTGTATAATGGCCTTGTGTCACATAGCGACAGTTGGAATTGGGTGTATTGTTCGATTTAATCGAACGATTTGTACAGGATTAACCGTACGAGCTGGACCGACTGCTTGAATTGGCTTAATACGGTTTTTGAATGCAAAGATACAACAATGGGGGCGAAACTTAGCAAAGCAGAACTGACGCATTTCTTTGAACGTAAGTAGAACAATTGTTGAACCAAAAGTATAATTCAAGTAGACGATGAACGTGGTAACTGCATCAATATAAATAGAATAAGTGAGATTTAAAATAATTTGAAAGAAATCATAGAGAACCCAAGGTGACCATGTCAGAAGAAACCAAATAAGAAAAAGATGAAGAGCAAATAGAAGACGATGATGATTTTTCATGCCAACCTGTCTTCGTTGTTGACCACCTCGGATACATTTTCGATATAAAACAACGCTAATGACAGATAGACAGGATATTAAAATGAGAAAATACGGTACAAATGTGATGAGTAGATCGAATATTCCATAGACATCACGCGCATACCAAAGATCACATGTTCGTATTGCAGAAGGATCATCGAGATCAATTGTCGATGCTCCATTCTGCATGATAATCGGATAATAGAAGCAAGGAAACATGATAGCCACAAAGAGACCAATATAATGAAGATAAATAGCAAGTGAATAACTTTGATGACGACCTCGACGAAAAATTAAAGGTTTCACGACAAGAAAGAAACGTTCGATTGAAAGTTGTGCCATAAGAAAATTATTTATTTGGGTTGGAATATGGTCCAGATAGACGCTGAGTTCACATAATGGACTGCCAGGTGCAGGTAAACATCCATCGTGATAATAGAAGTAAAGTCTTATTGGTCCTTGTAGAACAGCGAGCAATACTTGAGCCATACAACTCAATAATAACGCATGACTATTTATATCAAACACTTTTTTCACCTGAAAGATGATGGTAATAACAAAAATGATGTTGAGTAGGATTCCAAGTGGAACAGTAATACAGCTCATACCAAATAGAATGCGATACATATAAATAAGATTATAGCCGAGATCATCTTTTGGATCGCATTTTGTTGCAATGAACGCTGTATTATTATTTGCTTTCATATACATAGCTTGAGTAATAAAAAAATGACTTTCCATTTACAGAAAAAAATAAAAATAAAGAATATTTTTTGTCTACTCTGGTAAAATAATCTCTGTGTAGAACTACGATGACAATATCGCTAGAAAAAAAATAAAATTCTTTCTGCGTAGTTCATCACTGTCGATTCATTTTATACGTCATACTGTTTCTCATTTAAATTAACTTCAAACACAATTCTCCCCTTATTAATAATGTATCTTTAGTAGATATTATAAGCATCATGCGGCGAACGCTTTTGTTCTCTTCGACGTATCTTCATAATGAGATTGTTATTTTTGCAATCAAAATCTCTATACATGTACCCAAGAATATATTATTTGTTATTTCTGAAGTGAATCATAAAGAAGAAAGTGCAAAGATCTTTTACTCTTTAGTCTGCAATATCATCGTCGAATCTTGAGGGTGGATGTGGATGCGCGTTTGAAGATTAAATTCGAAATGTACACCCACAAGATTTGCAATAAGTATGATCGAGTTGTGCAATAATTCGCCGTACCAACATGGAAAGAAACTTCTAGAGAACGAAAGAAAAAAAATTATTATTCTGTATTACAAAAGCAAATAATAATATTTATCTATAACTTTTTCTCACTGAAAGAAAGGTATAAAAGGACATGATCATGCATTTGTTTCTTTATTACAGTTGAATCATTATCATCGTACATTTGATCGAACTACAAGTGTAACATGAATGATGAAGACACGTTCGAATTTATTCCACTTATCAAATGCATTGCACCGACAGATGAACAACGCAATGATCCTGAATATATTCCACAATTGGAAACGGATTCAAATGCCAAGAATATTCTAGCCGAACGATTTGCATCACCGATATCAATCTTCGTTTACATGGGGAATTTAGGTGCTGGCAAAAGCAAATTAGCTTCATTAACTGCAGCTAGCTTAATAACTAGCATCACTGATCAAAAATTACAACCATTCAAAGGTGGTGATGATCCGAAAGGTATCACGCATGGTGTCTGGATGTGCGCTCGTCCTTTGAAAAATCCAAACAAAAAACGAGGCTCAATTTTATGGGTGGTAATGATGTGAAAACAAATAATAGTCTATACTTGTTTTGCATGATTGTAAGTTCTGTATTAGCTGTGGTTTTACGACCAGCTCGAATCGATCGTGAACAATGTGATCGTTTATACGTCGAATTATGTCGGTTTCAACGTATGCAATCTCCATGTATCTTACCATCTACTTGGCTTGTACCGTTGGAATTACCCATTTTAAAGTGTAATGATCAGGTTGTCAGTTCTGATCAATGGATCGAAAAAATATTTACCGTAGATGAGTCAAGCAATAATTTAGGAACAACACAACATAAAGAGTTACAAAAACGATATGATTTTATTCGGCAAACGCTACCAAAGATTGGTGTTGCCAATCTAACGTATTTACCGCATGAAATGAAAGATAATACTATGACATTGAAAACAATGAAAACAACAATGAATAGTAAATTATCGAAAGATTACCATGCATCCTTAACAGAAATGCTAAAGAAAAGATTGAAAAACAAGAGACAAACTTCGAACCAGATGAAATTAGTAATATACTTCAAGATGAACGTCATCGTCTAATTGGAGAATATATCAAGAAAATGAAGACTTTAGCTGCGGACAAGATTTATGGTTTAAATTCAACATTGTTATCATCAGAAAACTTCGAACAATCTGTAGACGCTGCGCAAGCCAAGCTAAATTCTTATACAGATCCAGAAGAATTATTTGTCAAGATAAAACATATTTACAAAAATGTTCAAAATGAAGAAGAACAGACACGTATCATCTCTGAAGAAACTGATAAACGATTGAAGACAATTATCGATCGTATTTGTCGTGAAGAAATGATTAAACAAGCAATTGATGGACAAGAATTGCAATGTGAATTAGAAAGATGTCGTACCTGTCATCGTCAAGCTGGTATTGTTAGTATTATTCATCAGTGTTCCAATGGGAGACAAGGTAATTTTTATCGTTATGACGATAATCGAATGGTTTGTGATGCATACAGAGACGTGACAAAGATTAGTGTCACATCCATACATTGTACTTCATGTAATAATCTACGGCGTTTTAAAAACTTCATCAACTAAATTAATCTTATTTTTAACATAATTTATATCAATCATCGTATAATACAGAAAAGATTTTTTTTAATTTTTTATATTGTTAAATTTCATTGTTGAATAAAGAAGAATCGAGAACAAGCTGAATCTATAAAACATTATGGAAGTCATGAAGATTCTCAATGTTAATCTAAAGCTGAGAGCAGATATTACGAAATATTTCAATCCATCTTGAGAATGTGAGTGTGTAAATAATCAGAAGAGACATTCACACATATACCTTCAATCCCTTATTTCTCTTATAAGATCTATCATTGTAGCTATGTCACAACTGGTTATGATAGCGTCTCGTACTTGTCGTATTTGAATAGAAAATAATGATGTGAAAACACATATTGTCACGCTTTAGTTTCCGTAAGAATGGAAATGTTGTATTTAATTACACGTTATTCATTTACCTACGTCACTTTTATCGTTCTGTTACTCACATAATGTGGATATCAAGAAAATTTATTTTTCGTTCTACGAGCTTTATTTATACTCTCGTGTGCAAGCAGAAAAAAAATTATTTTTTTTTGCATTTCTGTGTGACTAATATCGCCAAAAGCGGACTGTTTTTTTTTCTCATACTCCTAGAATATATCAAGAAGCACAAATAACACTATGAACATGCTTCAAATAAATGTTTTTCACCTTTTTTTTCTTTTTTCTTTCACTGAGTTATTCTGTTCTTCCTTGTGAGCTGTAGTGCGTGCAAAAATTATTTTATCATGCTTCATTAGTCGGTGAAATAGACATTTTGATCATTGAATAAAGTAAGTGTAACATTATAACGAAGATTCTTTCAGCATCATTTTTCTGATAGTATTAAACTTGAAAGTTCATTTCATTTGAATATTTTAATTCGAAATGTTTCGGTCTATCTTTTTATTGAAACTTGAGGATGATGATGGTGAATAGTGTAGTTTAAGAGAAGATACGCACTCTTATGTTCAATATAAAGGTAATAGCGTTGAATTTTTGTTGAGTTTTTTCATTAAAAAACTTAAGTAAATAAGATTTCGTTAGGTTTTATTCTGTTGCAAACGTTTATATTTTTAAATATGGTAGTCTTCATTGTCTCAATATAATGACACGGTAAAGAAATTGCATTTAAAAGCAAGACCAACATTAATAATAGTGAATTTTATATACTCTAAAAGAACTGACAAGTGTATACATCAATTCTTTGCTTGTCTATAGTTTTTCACAATAAAATGAAACTCGCGAAACACAAGTTCTGTTTCTAATTTTAAAAAATGTTTCAATTTTTTCAATCTTTAGCTAAAATCTTGATAGAAAAAATGACTGAAAATTATTGCGTGCAATTTTATTTCATTCTTTTTTTTATCTTTCTCTATTATACATAAATACGCTATGATAATGATGACAATAATTAAAATTACATCTATTTCATATTATATCTTATGTTAAAGTATTTGAGTGTAAACAATTGTACCACTACCTCCTTTCATCTCCATAGATGTGACAATTATCTTAGTAGTGTTTCACCTTCATTCAAAATATTAAAAGTTCTGTCGCGTTTGACATCTTAATGTGAATTGCTAAGGGTGAAATTTCAAGACAAGATAGATTTTTTTTCTTTCTTTTTTAGCTGAATGAAGAAATGATTTTGTTTTTAGTGTTCTTTAGACAGGTACACAGATTTTCTTAAGAAACGTTCAAGTTATTCTGTTCAAATTTCTTTAAACTGTTAGACCATTTATATGCAGCTTTGACAGACTAATTCTTTTTCTATTCAACACTGTTTTATTCACAAGAGTAAGTCGCAGATTCTCGTTTATTATAAAAAATAATGACCTCGATAGATATGCATAGAACTGAAATTTTCTATCTCTATATGTTTTTCTAGATGTTAAGTGCCAGAAGAAACTTACATGCATCTTATCCACCTGCTTACAACTGGCCGATGGCTACTCCTTATGTAAAACCACCACCAAAACAGCTATCAAAACGTCGTGCTCTTTTAGCATTACTTGTCAAACATTTTAGATCAAAAAAAATTTTACTAATTCTTCTTATTGGATTAATTTTGGCGAGTATTGAACTTGCTCTGGGTCAAAAATACAAGGGTCAATGTCCGTACCGGCCGCAAATTCCATTATTTCTTACAGTTCATGGCATAGTCAAATTCGTTGCTTGCTTCACAATAATTCTTGCCTATTTTCAAGCAAGATGCCTAGAAAATTTTAGATATTTCTTTGAATTAATGTTAATTAATATTGTAATACATATACTGTTTGGAATATTTTTCATAGTATGGTTTATACTCGGTAACGTGTGGATCTGGACAGTTGATACAAGTGTAATGCAAACTACTGACCAGACTCAGACTTCAACATACTGTGAAAATACACTCTATCAAGCAGC